GGGCGGGGGGGGCGGGGAGGAAGGCAGGTCAGGATGGCTACATCATTTGCAGGTCTCAGTACAAAATGAAAAGGGGGGTCTCCTTGTTTAAAAATTGTTAAGAATTTCAAGACAGCAACAGGGAACTAACTATTAAACCGAGCCTGGGGCCCTTCTACATGTGGAGTCCTGAGCACTCGCACGGGTCACCCACACATGAAGCAGGCCCGGTGTATAGGGCCCAAGAAGGTGGGTGGGGTTAGAAAAAGGCAAGTTGAGGCCAAGCGACAGACAGATGCACAGGATGTAGGAAGTGGAGGCCGCAGCCATCGTCCGGTCCGTGGCTGAAGGTCGAGGGCAGAGGAGCCCAGGCCCTGCCCTGCCCTTCCTGGCAGAGGCTGTGATGTCACCGTACCTGTGTTGGGGTCCTGCACCAGATTCAGGACCACGCCAGGCTCTTCGTTGATGTTGAAGCACAGTGCGTCCTCTTTCTGGGGCACGTGGATGATGAAGTGGGGGTCACTGTCCACTGGGAACAGCATGGAGTCCATTAGATTGGTCAATGGACAGATGGTGCCGGCGGGGCCAGGGTTCAATCAGGCAGGGTGTCCCTCGGATCCTCCCAAGGACTCACCAGTTGTGATTGGCCCCACCGGGACACTGGAGCCAGTCGGCTGCTGCGAGGCCGGCAGTACGAACGCTGACCAGCAAGAGCAAAGGGCATTTAGAAGGAAGGCTGCTGGGCTTCCCTGGAGCTGCTGGCTCCTTTTCTGAGGCCCCTCCCACCCCTGAGGCCACCGGAGTAGGAGTGGACACAGAGCCCGGAATGCCTCTCTGGAGGTAGGAAGAGAAATTTGGCCCAGGGCAGTGGGCCAACCTGTTCTGTCTCCTTCCATGGGGACCTGGTGGGGCTGGTGGCAAAAGGGCGGGGGAGGCCAGGTCCTGGTCAGGGCACTGTGTGAGGATTCGCAGGGAGAGGCAGTGAGGGGAGCTGGAGCAGAGGAAGGAAGCCCTGGGCTGGGTTTCCTCACCAGGAAACACCTAGGCTTTGCTCAGGACTGAAGGCACAGCTGAGGGACAGTAACGGGAGAGAGGTAGAGATGTGTGCCATTGTGATGGCTGCCACTTACTCCTTTTCGGTCCCAGCATCTCTGTGGAGGACAACGACAGTGTCAGCTTTGCCAACCTCCCCTCCCAACTCCCCACCCCCAAAGGCATGTGCACCTTATTCTCCAAGTGCACCCTGGGCCCAAAGGCCCATCTGGCCTGGGCCGGCCCTCCTCCTGGGGTCCCAGCCCTCCACATACATGCGCTCACACGAGGCCCCAAAGGAGGCCAGTGCGGGTTCAGGCTGTGCCAGGAGGCGGCAACTAGTGTGTGGCGAAGTGGGCAAGGGCGTCTTGGGGAAGAAGAGACCACGAAGGGCTGGAGGCAGGGCGATGGGGGTGGGAGCTGCCTGCCTGAGCCCTGGAGCACATGCCACTTGCCCAGCCACTGGAAACCCCTTGAGAAAACCAACGTGATTTAAAAACTCACCCAAGGGAGGAGAACCTGGGAGGGAGAGAAGGGGAGGAGAATTAAAGCCCTCAGAAGCCTCCCCAAGGCCCACAGCCTCCCCCACTGCAGAGCTCATACCCACTGTTGACTTGTCAATGACGGGCTCCAGGCCATCCTCATCCACCAAACCCCTCATGGTCATGGAGGTCAGCGGGGTTACAAATTGATAGGCTAGCGACATCTGCAGGGCCTTGGCCATCAGTTTGGCCTTCTCCGGCCCCTCCAACTTCATCCTGTGGGACAGACGCCTGCTTCAAACCTCGCAGCTTGGACGACAATGGACTTGCACTCCCTAATCCTTTCACTCATTTGCTCACTCACTCATTCACCAAACATGAATTGAGCACCTACAGCGTCCTTGGTCAGTGGCTATCATCATGGACCTCATGACTTAAAGACCTCCCACACAGAAAGCTTGGAGATGGGGCAGGGTTCGGGGAAGTGCCTCAGAAATACTCCGAGGATTGAATAGCTGTGAGATTCTGGGCAAGTGGTCTCACCTCTTTGAGCCTCAGTTTGCTCATCTGGGAAATGGGGATGATGAGGACATTCACCTGCACTTTGTGAGGATTAAGTGGGTTTGCCTGGACATGGTAAAGGGTAGCCTCCCCCACAGTAGCTCGGCTGTGGCCCCAGTATGCCCTGCCCCCACTATTGACTGACTGGTTGATATTAACTCAGTGAGCATAGCAGGACAGTAAATCTGAGGGTGAGGGGTACTCTGGGGCGGACGGTGCCTGCTGGGCAGCTGCAGGGGTCATACCGCTTGGCCAGCAGCTCCTGGACGGTGAGGTAGGCCCAGAGGCGTTCCACGTGGTTCTCCAGCATGTGGCCCCGCTCTTGGAGCAGCTTCTTCATCTCTTCCTCGTCCACCAGGCAGGTGGTCTTGAATTCTCGGCCATCCTGATGGTTGTGATGGGGAGACAGTCTGTGAGCTCTGAGGAGCACAACCACTGGCTGGTGCTTGAGACTCCAAGGGGCCCCACTCTAGTCTGATCTCAGCAACTTCCTTCTAGGCAGCCCCCTTTCTTAAGCCTGTTCTCCTCATCCCCCTCCATCCATTCTTTCCACAAAAGCTTACTGAGCATTCTCTGCAAACCAAGTTGTCCTCGGCCCTGGGCATCCCAGGGCAGGAGAACCAGGCCCTGACCTCATGGAATGACTGTCTTTCAAGGCTGCTTCCACCATGTGGCTGTTTCCATCAGGCCGTGCTCCTCCAAACACCTGCCTTGCTGCTGGTGGGCTGCACCGTTCAAGCTGCCACATACATAGATGTGCCTTCTCTCCCCAGCTACAGCAATGGGGCAACGCTTCCTAAAGGCGTCCCAGGCACCAGGCGCTGTGTAAGCATATTAAGCGGATTATCCCACTTCCTCCACACAGCTCTCCAGGTAGTGTTACCCCCATGGTACAGAAAGGAATGGAGACCAGAGAGCTGGATCCATTTGCTCAAGGTCACCAAGCTGCTCAGGGTGGAGTCAGGGTCCAGATCAGCTCTCCTCACTCAAAGCCTGAGTCCTGCACCCTCAACCACACTGAGGGCAGGGTCCGGGTCTCACACATCCTGACGCACAACGTGCACAAGAACACACGCTCTGCAACATGGCATGAAGCCGGGTGCATAGTAGGTGTTCAGGAAATGCTGTTCAAGTGAGAAGGAAGAGGCTGGCCTCTTGCTCTCTCGTGCCTTGCGGAGAATGGTGTGAGGAGTAACAGGAGGTCCATTTTGAGCCAAGGGACTACAACTAATCAAGGCCGTGTTGGCCTCATACCGTCCTGTCCCCAGGACACCTTCATGGAGGAATGTTCAGGCCTCGGGGGAGGGGAGGGTTGCATGATGCAGGAGTGGGGAACAGCGTGGGTTTGCAGCCTCTGGGTACTGCCGGGCCTCTCCACCCTCCATGGCCCACTGTTTACCGCATGGGCCCGCACATCCGCCTTGAAGCTGCTCAGCTTCTGGTCAGCGATGCGCCCAGCCACCACGATCTCTGAACCTTCGTAGTACTGTTTATGGCTGTGCTGGGTCAGCTCTGAGACAGTGTCCTTGGGGTATTGCAACTCCACATCCACCAGCAAGGGGGTGGCTACCTGGTTGTAGAAACCCTGCAGGGATGGGAAGTGCAGCTTCAGAACTGATGGATTACCCTGGGCACCCAATGGGAAACACACTGACCAAGTGGGGTGTTGGGATCCACACTTTATAGAAGGAATCATAGGTTCAGAAGGGTTATGTAACTGGCTTGAGGCACACAGCTAATTTGAATCCATGCCAAAGCTTTATCTGCTCCTCTAAGCTGATAGGCAAATGACTACCAAGGCGGGGCTCCCCATGGGCTGCCACTGGTGGTGCATTGGGGACGGGGACCAGGTGGGGGAAGGAGGAGACCTGCAGCTGCTGGGTGGCGTCATGGTCCTCATAGATCCTCTGGGCCCGTCCATTGTTCTCCATGGACATGACCTCCAGGAAGCTGAAGTCCACATTGTGGCCAAAGCCCAAGTTGTAGAGCGGGAACTTGCCCCCAATGGCGCTGCGGACATTCTTGAGGATTTGGGTACGGTCGGTCTCTCCTGCAGCCACACACAAACACACACACACACACACACACAGGCAGTGACTGGACACCAGCTCACAGGCACGTGGAGCACCAGGGAATTGGAGGCACACCCCCTGAGGCCCAAGCTTCCCATCTTAGGGGTCTCCAGTTCCCACAAGCATCTCAAGGCAGCGCCTCTGCTGGCTAACTGTGGAACTGCAACAACTGCTAACAGCTCCTTGCCCCTCTGCGAGCATCTATCACAAGCAGATCGGATTCTACTCTAAACCTCCTGTGCTCCTTGCTGTGGCCTGTGAAGCTCTGCTGACCTTTCCACCCTGGTTTCACCTATTTTGCATTTGCCTGCAGCTCCTGGGCAGACCCCGCCAGTGCACACATCTTTTTTTTTTCTTCCTTTTTTGCTTAAGCTGCCCCCTCTGCCAGGGATCCCTTCCTGCTTCTCCTTAACTCCCTCCAGACTGAGCTCAGCGGTCACCTCTCCAGGACTCTTTCTGGGACCTTTTCTGGGCCAAGTGCCCCTCGTCTGTGGTCCCACAGCCTCCTGGCATCCTGTTCTTTCAGGACCCTCGACAGAGCTTCTGTTCCTGGGTCTGCCTCCCCCAAGGACATCAAGGAGAGAGATCCTCAAGGACAGAGACATGTCTGTTCCCTTGTCCTGTGCTTGGCATACAGTTGGTGCTGAATATATAGCTCATTAAATTCACCCTAGGAATCCTGCCCCTCCTCCTGGGCCCTGTGCAATGCTGTGTCGTGCAGGAACTCCCCCAATCTCCCAGCTGAGGACAGAAGTGTGCCTTGGAGCTCCTGCAGACTTTATGGTCTGAACTCTGTTTTTAGATCAGCATTTGCCTTTGCCCTGAGCCTCTCTTTCCCGCCACAATATCCCCAGTGCTTGGGTTTCCAAGTGAAGCTTGAATGCCTTCAGTAATGAAGAGAGCAGTACCGCCCAAGGCCGCCCTCCAGGTGCTTACCCTCTGTGGGCTCGCCATCTGTCAACATGATAAGAATTGGGGCATGGTTGCTGAGTTCTGGGTTGCTTCTCTGACCTTTGTTCAAGATGTCAATTCCCAGGAGCAAACCTCCATTCAGGTTTGTGGCTGCAAAGGAGAGAAAGACCAGTATATGCTCTCATTCCTAGGGCACAGACACAACACCAAGGTGGCCCGAAACACCTGCCCTTACCCCCGGCCAGGGAGAAGCTCCGCACGAAGTCCTGAGCTGCTTGCAGATTGGCAGCGGATGCTGGCACCAGTGAGCCCCTCCACGACTGCACTTGAGACCCAAAGAGGACCAAGTCGAAGTAGTCCTCTGGCCGTACGTCCTCCAGGATTTTAAGGAGTGCTTCCTTTGTCTGCAAGGACAGGACCGTCAGTGGAGGGACAGAGCCCCAGGATAGTGGCTTCTGTCAGCCCCAGATTGGCATTTCAGAGTTTCCCCAGGGCAGAGGTACGTGGTGGACAAGTAGGAGGGGGTGGCCAGGTGGTGCCAGGAGAAGAGCATCCTGTAGGGCTCTGGGGCTGGTGACGGGGAGGGAAAAGGCAAAGGTACCCAGTGTGGGGAGAAGAAATAATTGGAGTTCGAGGGCCGTGGGATTCAGAAAGAGGACCCCAGGGGGGCTGAGTTGCTAAAACTGCTTGTTATAGAGTATCGTCTCAATATGCCAAGGTTGCGGGTTCGATCTCTGATCAGGGCGCATAGAAGAAGCAGCCAATGAATGCATAAATAAGTGGAACAACAAATCCATGTTTCTCTCTGTCTGTCTCTGTCTCTGTCTGTCTGACTCTTACTTTCTCTCTCCCTTCCTCCCTCTCTGTCTAAAAATCAATACAAAAAAACAAAAACAAAAAAACAACCACCCACAAAACAACTCTGCTTGTCCAGCTGTGGTTCCGCTGAGCCATGGACGAGGCACCTAAGAGCACTGTGAGCCACCTGTTGCAAGATGCCTCCCCAGGAACCCCCATATTCATCCCCAGTTTCATCTTCCAAGCACTCCCTCATCAATATCCATGACCCCATGGGCACTGTTATCATTGCCATTTTGCCACCGAGAAGTGAATGCACTTGCCCAGAGTTGCACTGGGAGGGAGCAGGTGATTCCAGAACCCCTAACCACTGGAGTTTCCCTTTAAGTCACCCTGCCTCTGAGCAGAAATCCCACACCCAGACTCTGGCAGCAAAACGAGTGTGGTGTGGTGATAAGACTGAAGAAGCTTCTATTGGGTGAGTTGTAAAGGCACCATTTACCTGCTTCACTTTCTGGCCTTCCATGGAGTTGCTGATGTCAATCACAAAAACCAGGTTCTTGTTCAGGTTCGTCAAGTTTTGGGGGGCAAAGAAGTGGGCAAAGTAGTTATTGGCGACCTGAAACACAAAGGAATGAGCGAGGCCTCTGCACAAGCACCTCTGCCCACCCTCTGAGTCGTGGGCCAGAAGCTTTGGGCTCACCAGGAGGTCGCAGATCTTGTCTCGATTGACATCATAGGTCACCTTGAACTCCCCATCCAGCAAGGTAGTGGAGCATGTGGGGCAGGACTGCTGCTGGCCCACGGTGGGGCGGAACAGCACTTGACCCTGGAACCATCAAGGGTGTTAGGCATTACTGGTTTGTGCAGTTGCAAATAGGATGTTTGCAAATACAACAACATAAAGTGTGTGTGTGTGTGTGTTGGGGGGCGGGGGTGCATGGGCATAGAAATGCGTCAGGTGGGGCCCTCACCCAGCTGCTGAGAGTAGCACTTGTAGGTAGTAAGAAAGAAAGCCTGTTCCTTCGCTTAGATGCTTCTGAATCATTGGCATTTTCTTCAATAAGCATTTAGGGTACAAGTAAAAACAAAATGACAGCAGTATGAGAGGCTGAGAACATCAGTCCATTCAAACTGTGGAGTTTTAGAAAAGCGAGGCTGCAGCACTGTGCTGGGAAAGAGAAGCACCTGGACAGCAAGGAGCAGAAGCTAGAAGGAAGGGCCCAGAGTGGGAGCTGGGGTCTGGACTGGCTTGGTCTTGGTGCTCAGGAAAATGGGGGATGGTTTTTACTCATTTCTCTTCTATATTTCTGTACTTTCCACATTTTATTTAAGGCTTTTTAATTTTTTTTCTTTGTTATAAAAATAAGATATGCTCATTTAAAAAAAAAAAACTTGACAAGAATTGATAGTAAGACAAAGAGCCACCCCTTTGGTCCCCTGCTAAAAGCAGGCATGTTTGCTAACACTCTGGGGTGTCATGTTTTGTTTAAAAGGACCCCCCCCCCGAAAAAAACTGTAACAAGCATTTATTTTAAATGATGTCTGAGTCGCTACTAACACTAGATAATGACTAAAGGGTTTGCTCCTGGCTCCAGTTGAGGGCACTAGCTAGGTATCACCCACCATATGCCATACTCCTCCAGGACTGGGGAGGGGCAGGCAGGGGGCTCTGGGATTCCTGCAAGTGGGTGGTGAGTGACAAGCGGCAAGTGGCTGAGTAGGCCAAAGGCCTGTCTGAACTTAACTATGTTTCCACGAACACTGGAACAAGGAATCCTAACCTCAACAGCATCTGACATTTGCTCATGTGCCCTGAATGCTTTCCTATGGGTGTGAGGCAAGCAAAGAGGAAACTGAGGCTCAAGAAAGCCAGCAACTCACCCCAGACCATACAACCACTGTGGGTGCCTTCCCCAGCCTCAGCATGCAGGCTTTTGCTAAGTTGCTGTGAGAATCAGGAGTGCCAAGTTCCCCTGGGATACCAACCAGAAGACACCTGCCTCTCTCACCCCCAGGGAAGCCTGAAGACCTTGCCTGGTTACCAGGCCAAGCTTGGACCCTCCATGAGGAGTTGGGCCAGGTGGAGAATTCCCAGAGGGCCTGCCACCACCCCCAGCCGTGCCACATACCTTTTTGCCTGAGAAGGACTTCTTGATGAGTTGAGCTGCCAGTTCCTTGGGGAGGAAGGAGGTCTGGACATCCAGCTTGCGGATCCCCTGGGGCTCAAAGATGTCCACGTCGATCTGCATCATTGAAGCAATTCCTGCACCAAGGCTCCCATTTGGGCCATCATCCAGTCTCAGCCAAGAGCCAGCATGTGCCCTGGCCACCTACTGTGTGCAGCGCCCACCTCGCCCCAAGCAAAGGGCCTGGTAGGCTCTCCAAAAATATTGGCCAAATGATGGTGTGCTTACCTGCACCCCTCAACTCGGCCACCATTGAGGTGCCAGAGACAACCACAGTCCCTCATGCTGCCCAGGACTTTCTGTTTATAAACTACCTGGACGTTTATTATCTCCTGTGATCCTTGTGGAAGTCCTGGGACAAACAGGAATCCCCATTTAACAGATGAGAAAGCTGAGGCTCAGAGTGGAGGAGGCTGAAAGGTTCAGGAAGCTCCCTGCCCATCAGAGCTCACCCTGAGGAGTTAGTCCCCTGGCTTGTGTGCTCAGGTCTGGGGTGGCACACGATGAGTGCCGAGCCAATGCTAGAGCCACAGTGGGGGAGAGGCAGGAGCCCTGCTCCTGAGACCATCCCCCTGGGCCTGGCGGTCCCCTGCAATCTACCTCAAAATGATGCACCAGCTGCTTGGGCTTGACTTTGATGTCAATGTCGTACTGCATGAGCTTCCGCTTCAGCACGTCCTCGTAGGTCAACCGGAACATGGACTTAGTGCGGGGACCGATGGTGAGGTGGATGGTGAACTGCTCCATCGTTCTTCCCGAGGCCCTGGGTGTGCCACCAGAGGCAACCACACAGACAAATGGTAAGTGACATGTGGTTCTCGTCACCTAAAGCACGGGCCTCAGAATCAAGTTCTCTTATTCTAGTGCTGCTCCGGGCATCCTTGGACCTCGCCCTTGTCTTAGCTGGCTGGCCAGAGTCAGGGCCCAAGGACAGGGTCCACTTCTCCTGCAGGCTGGTCTAGGGGCCGGGCAGGTCAGCACCAGCCTTGCCCAGTGCACCTGTGCTGGCATTTGGGTTTGGGCAGGGTGCTCACCTCCCATCAGCCTGGGGCTGCTCTGCACCCAAGGCCACCTTGCAGCCCTCAGGTCTATCCGAGGGGAAGGCCGCCTCAAACACTGGGCCAGCAGGGCTCAGAACTCACCTGACAAGGCCGGCATTCTCTCCTGAGACGGCCGCTTTCCGGTACTGCTTCCACGCAATTGCTTTTTCCTTTATGTCCCCGATGAATGCTTTCCCGTTTGCTGTGCTGCCGGGAGGAGGAAGCCCTCAGGGGAGCGGCCCTTCCCTGACACACGTATTGGAGGTACTTTCAGCCCAGACCCCAGGAAGCCCTGTCCAAGTGAGCACTCATGGGGGGAGGGGATGCATGTCCTGCGGGCCTCCCTCTGCCCGAGGAGTGGCTTGGAGGCCCCTTGGCAGTGAGGTGGGCAGCGACAGCCAGAGCCCAGAAAGCAGCTTTTGCTCTTCGGGCCCTAGGCTTGAAACACAGTCAGAGGCCCGTTTGCTGTCCACCATGGGAGCCCAGAACAGACCTACTAAAGGACTGTTCTCCCTTCTGAGCTGGAACTGGCCTGCGGCCCTTTGGGAAATGAGGAAATAGTACACTGTCTGGCCACTTTGAGCCATGGTCTTAGGCTGGGCCCAATGAATGGACAGTTCTGGGTGGGGGAGTCAGGCAGGGCACGCACATGGCAAAGTCACTGATGAAGGCCGTCTTGGGGATCTCCACACTGAAAGCCACTTCCTTTGGTTGGTCGGCGCTGTTGACCACTTGGCTGGTGATGACATAGTGGGCGAAGCGAGAGGTGACTTTGCAGTTGACTTTCAAACTCTGGATGACCACGCCGTCGACAGCCTAAAGTGAGACGTGAGGGCACTGTGGCCTGGGATGGGGGCCTCTGAGCCAATGAGAGACCTTGTGTTGTATTGGGGTCAGCACCCAGTTCTGACTGACACAAGGTGCCTGAAGAACAAACCAGACCTCCCAGGGAGACCCATCTGTTCTCTCTGCCTCCGAGCGAGCAGCTGGGGATGAGGTGGGATGGGGAGTCGAGACAGGAGTCCCTCGACCCAGAGCACTAACATAGGGGCACCCCCCCTGGGGACGGGGAAATCGCGGCTGGAATAGTGGCCCCACCACAGACTCCTTTGCGGAGACTCACTCACTGTGTCCACAGCCTGTCGCTTCTGTAAAACAAACCGGGGTCAGTGTGAGCGTGCATGCTCAGGCTTTTAAAGGTATGGGCATGGGACACAGCCGGAACCCTCTGCTCCTTGGCCTCACTCTCCAGTCAGAGGTGGTCAAGGTGGGAGGGGAAGCTCCAGTCCCTGGGGTGAGGGTCTTGTGTCCCCCTCCCAGGCCCCAGCCAGACCCAGCTGCCTGTTTCTGCCCCGAGGGTTTACCCACATACCTCGCTGCTTTTGGGCCTTTGGGGTGAAGCCTGAGCGGGCAGGGCCTGCAGGGTGAGGAGGGACATCAGGGACACACACAGCAGCACCCGCAGCCCCATGGCGCCAACCCTGTTCGCAAGGCTCCCGCTGCCTTGTCGCTTCACTCAGACCATCAGTCAATAAAGTGCTAGATAAACATGGATTAAACATTAGACAGGATGAAGACAAATATTACAGTTGGGGTGGGGGGTGGTTAAAAACTCACAGCGAAAGCTTTCTCCCTGCGGGGGTTCTAAGCTGCGTAAACTGGCCAGACTCAGAGCTGGATAGAACTGCACCCAGACAAGGTGAACTGGGGAGACCCCAGCTGCTTGTCTAACTCTGGGTCTGGCACAGGGCAACCCTGGTGACACGGTGACATGTGTCAGGAAGCCACAGCTAAAAGTGGATTTCTAAACTTCATTAAGTGTTACTTTCAAAATTCTTTAAGTATCAATAAACTTTTCAGTAAGTCCCACTTTGGCCAGGGAGGCCTGTGGCTTACAAAGAGTCTGCTCATGCCCGTCTCTCACGCCAGTTCTACCCGGAGGCACGCTCTGAGTCTGGTCAGGAGTTTACCCTAGCAGCTCTCCCAGAGGCGGCCTAGGCGTCTTAGGGATGGGTAATGGGTGACCGACCCATCCTTTAGGACAGTTGCCTCATCTCTCTGGACCTTCTTGCCCAGAGTTGGAAAGAAGAACAAAAGTAGCCCAGCATTCTCCCACAATGAGTGCCCCTTTTCCTAATGAAGGGCTGGTTATGGGTCATGCATTGCTCCAATCCCTTCATTGTCTAATGTAGCCTCCTGGTATACCTCTGAGCCTGTGAAAGACTTCCGTGTTGCACTGGGGCTCAGCACCGAGCTCTGATGCAAGGGGCCAACAAGTGACAGAGCAGGTATCCAAACCCAGATCTTTCCGTCTCCGAAGCCCAAGCCTATCATGTAATGGCAGGAAGGCCCTCTGCATTATCAGGAAGAAGGGAGAAGCAGAGTCAAAGGCCCTCCTTTTACCTGCATTTTCTTAATTTTTATGCCCAAACCCTCGTGGTCTCCTACAAGCCACCGCACACTGGACAGACATGGCCCCGGGTCAACCCACTCCAGGGCCCTGGGTGAAATGTACTGGCTGCTGTGACCCCGATGTGGTGAGGGGACCCAAGGGCCTCTTTGATCTCTATTTGCTTGTCCTGGACTTTGTCTCACAAAGCAGCTTCTGGGAAAGGTTTATTGTCCCCAGGCCGTAATGACCTTTTGGCCTGTTTTCTGGCCTCTGTAAAAGCTGAGCTGGATCAACATTAAAATGTACCCTTGAAGTTTTCCTACACTAGTATGGATCGCCTTGTGGTAGGTTGGGCACAGTGCCAAGCACTAGGGCACCACAGTGATGAAACTTGAGTGCCTTGCTGTGTTCTGTGAGCTGATGCTTGGGAAAAGGAACTGATGCAAATCAAAGGAGGCCCAGTGAGTCAAAGGAGTGGTCAGAAGCTAAAGAGGAGCATGAAAGAGCAATAGAAATCTAGACGGGGTGGAGCTCATCCCCACAGGGCTTAGATCAGTGGTTCTCAACCGTCCTAATGCCGGACCCTTTAATACAGTTCCTCATGTTGTGGTGTCCCCCAACTTCATGGTTACAAATTGAACATAATTAAAGCATCGTGATTAATCACAAAAACAATATATGTAATTATATATGTGTTTTCCGATGGTCTTAGGCGACCCCTGTGAAAGGGTCATTCGACCCCCAGGTTGAGAACCGCTGGTAGAGTCTGTCACTACCACCCACTCCCATTAGAATGTGAGCTCCAGGAGGGCAGGGAATTTGTCAGCCTGGCAGATGGTAGACGGGCAATAATTACTTCTAAAATGAATGATCAACATGCGCAAAGCGCTTAGAACAAATGCTCAACAAGCAGGCAGCTCCCATGACCGGATTCTGGCCGGCAACCCGGGAGTTCGCGGCGGTGGAACTGAGAGTGCGCACAGGCCCGGCGGAGACGCTCTGGCCGCCCGGCGCCTCGGCTCT